GGTAGCGAAAGAAATAAGTCCGAACTGTCGGCAAAATGATTCTACATACACGTATTTGCGTCAACATTGATTTTGCAGTAGCAAACAGCAGCAGCAACAACAGAAGCAACATCCAAGACGAGGCCACGACGAGGCCAGATCTTGCTTGCAGACGGACAACAGCCATGTAGTCCATGAGCATGGCCGATGGCGTGATTGAGGACGAACTTGAGGACAGCATAGCACTGGCAGAGGCAGCGGCAGCGGCAGCGGCAGAGGCAGAAGTTGCAGTCGCAGTCTGCTGAGGCGTGATGCGAGCTTAAGCTGCTGCTTGGATTTGGTTTTTTGAGCAGAAGACAGTGCAAGGCAAAGCAGTGCAGCGCAAAGCAGTGCAGTGCAGTGCAGGGAGAGGGCAACGCAGTGCAGCGCAGTCTTGGGCCGTTCCTCAGCCGCAGAACCGTCCAAAAGTTGCGTGCCCATAGGTCTTCTGTGTAATTGCGCAACAATTGTCAGGAGCAGCGGTGCCCGGTATCCCTCTTTAAGTAGCAGTTGGCGCTGACTGCGCAGTTGCTGCCATTGCCACTGTTCCTGCCTGCCTGCCTTCCTGCCAGCCTGCCACTCTCTAAGGGCGCACTGCAGTGGCAGCGAACAAAAACCGCAATCAAGACACGGACACGTCATGAGGCAAACACACACACAAAAAACGGACTGGCAATCGACTGACTACCTTCGTGTCTGCGTCAAACTTGCGGAAATCTGATTTTAAAATTATTAACAACATGCAACGACTAAATAGTTTTGCATTCGATAACAAAGCCCGGTCCTGCCACTGCCGCACTGCCACTCTGCACAGTCCATCGATTCACTGCCAGATTCAGAAAACTCCGAAACGTGTCCCGGGAACGGGAACCTTCATTTGGATGTTCAACTGCCATTCCCATTCCCCCTCCTGTGTGTCCAGTGACCGCAACGTATAATTCACAAATTCAAATTCAAAAATTTCAAACGATCGAATGGCACTTTTGGCTAGCGAACCGTTATAGGGTTAATTAAATGCAGTTCCAGTAGCTCTGCCTCTCTCTGCCTCTCTCTCCACGTTGCACGGCAGCTACGCTTTCATTTCCATGGCAGTTTCTCCAACCAGCAACTCCATCTGCAGCTCCAGCGCTCCTTCCACTGCAGCTGCAATTAGAAGTTGCACAAAAAGCGCAGCAAGAAGAAACGAGCTCCAAGCGAAAAACATGCAAAAACAAAATGGCGATAACTACCGCAATTTGCATATAAATGGACGTAGAAACGTCTTTAGTCACCCGAATCTTGAGCAAACCATAGAAGCGATTAACATTGTTGTCGACTGCCTGACGAGCCGCAGCGCAACTTGCAACGTGCAACGTGCAGCGTGCAACGTGGCGGGGGCGAGTGAAAAGTTGCCACCGCTGCAACAAAATGGCGGCACAGCCGTCAGAGCGTGGCACCAACCTCAACACCAGCCCAAGCCAAACCCAACCCAACACCCCACATCGCGGGAGAGGGAGAGGGAGAGGGAGAGGCGATGCCATCAAGCGTGTTGGCTCGATGGGCAAAGGTAGCGGCAACAGCAGGAAAGGGGACAACGACAGGGACAGGGACAGGGACAACGAAGCGGTTGGGCAGCCAGTACACTGAGCAAAATATTGTACTACAGATTTCACTTCCAATTTTTAAACTATTTATTCTCTTCATTTGTCCCGTATTTCTCAGTGTACTCCTCGACCGATCCCCTCTGCGGCATGTGCCCTCGTAATTACGATTGTTTTTGCTCGAGTGGCGGGGCATTTGCCTGCAGAAACGCGACCGTTGCACAGCCACCCGCGTCCACCCACTAACAGCCCTCCCCCCACTTCCACTTCCACTTCCACTCCCATCGCATGGTGTGCCCACATTGATATCGCCCATTGTGCTGGCGGTACGGCTGTTATTATGCAAATGCCATTCACAGGTAATTACCACGCTGCACCGTTATAATTGCACTCGAAGCCCAGCTAGGAGTCGCGGCCGCCAGTTCGCAGTTCGCGGCGGCTGGCTCCCATCTTTGCCCTTTTTTTGCGCCACCAAAAAACGGAGCAACGGTGCTGCCAAATCGAAACTGGCAACAAGATGTGGCTGCCATTAATTACCGCAACAGCAACACTGAGCTGAGCTTCTTCTGCCAGCCCGTAAGTGGCGGGATTCCCACTCGAGTGCATTGTGTAAGTTGCTTGGAAAAAAAACCATACCTAGTTTTGATATGCAAAAAAGAAAATGTAGAAATAGGCAATGCAATAATTGTGGCTGTACTTGGTCTACTTTTGGAGTAACATTTTGTCTTGTTTCAATTTGGGAGAGAGTGCATTGCTTGCCCTTTGCATAACTGTATTTTCGATTCGAGCGCCGCGTCGCTCGTCAGCATAGAGACAGACGTAGACACCAAAGAGCGAGCTTCGAGAGAGCGCTTAGAAGTGCAAGCAGGTAGAAAGCTCAAGCACACAAAAGCATAACCGAAAAGTACAGAGCAGCTACAACAATATTTATCCCATAAATACTCTCTCTCTCTCTCTCTCGCACGACTAATATTCCAATATGGGGAGGGAGAAGCGCCCGTCACACTGTAGCGCCGATGCAGCAGATCTTTATCTGGACCGGACCTTGACCTGTAGGCTGGTGCTGGAGAGAACCCTTATCCGACAGTGGCGGCGACAATGCGACATTTGTGAGCAGCAGAAGCGGCGATGCTGACACCTCGGCTGCGCGCTCAGAGAAAAAGTCACAAGGAGTCATGAGAATGCAGACTCGGAGTCGGACTTGGGCAAATTAGAATAACTTAAATACACGACGGCACGCATTAAGCGGGCTCGGTTCGGGGTTCGGTTGCTGTGATATTATCATCTGAATCGGCATCGCCAGCGCATCCTTTTTTTTTCACTCTTCTCGCGCCCGCTATCAAAAAGTAATAAATCTGCCGCTGATCCATCGTAAATCTTTGCGTTCCCTTCATGATTTACCCACATAAATCAAAATTATCGACCCGTTCTGTCGTTCTCAGAGTGTGACTCGGAGTGGGGATTGGAGCCGGCAACTGGGACCTGAAGCTAAAGTTGAAGCTGAAGTTGGACTTGCAAACAGGTAAGGGTAAGGGATACAGGACAGAGGACAGGCGTCAGAACTGGCCCTGTTAACTGCCCGAAAGTGTTAAATGCATTCAATCTGCAGACTTGTCCCCACCGATTGGGCAGACAGAATTAAGTTTTTCGACTTCGCCGCTCATCTCTCCATTAAGCGCTATCACCACTGCAAAAGTTCTGGCTCGTAACTGTCGCAAATGGTTTGTTTTGGGTTCGTTTTGGTTAGTTCATTTAGCGCTCCAATTATCGCCTGCTGGGAAGGAAGTGAGTGGCAGTTCCAGCTGTCGGTTCAATCAAACGGATCACCCACCAGCAAACCCAGCAATCAACAGTCAGCAGCAGCCTATGAACTACAATACCGCAAGACAGTCAGTCAGTGGCCTGGGATCTGCTGCTCACGCACCTATTTTTCCTCCGTCTCGTCTTGGGAGATTCGGGAAATATTCGTCACATGCAAAGTGAAATTACCTGGGCTCGGTCGGCTGGCTAATTTCATTTAATTTTCGGGCCACTGTCTCACAGCCACTCAGGCAAGAAGAAGCGACCGCTACAATTACGAAATATTTTCCCCAATTAATAATTAATAATTTGTTTGGGTCACGGAATCCTCTATGTGTGTGAATTGGAGGGCAACAATTTTGTAGCTACAGCGTCAGTTTTTTTGGGGGATAAAAGTAGATAGAGAGAAAGGCGTTGTGTGACCCTTAGCTGCTGCTGCTGCTGCTGCTGCTGCTCCTCTGCCGGCTGACTGAGACGGTTAATTGCTGTCACAAAGTCGGCTTCAAGATGGAAACGATGGAAATGGAGGAGCAGGAGGAGGAGACGCAAGTGAAAATCTTTTGTGCGCCACCACAAAGACACGCAAAGGCAGTCAGAGGTGCAGAACACATTTTCTGTGTGTGTGTGTTCGTTCCTTCCTGCCCTGCCCTCTTCCTTTTTTGTCCAACCAACCAACAGTTGGCTGATGCCCAACGAAGCCAACAACCTGATGGACTTCAAAGTACACTTACTCGTAATACTAGGCCCAGATTTCCTGCTGCTGTCGTGGAGGGGCCCTCAGCCTGCCTTCCAACCAGCTGGAGTTTGCTCTAATTCAGCCTCAATTTGTGCGCGAAATGGGACGATAAATTAATTGAGAGCCACGGACAGAATCACACTTGATACCCTGGCCAGCAAGCTAGCTGAGGCTGAGGCTGAGGCTGTGGCTGTGGCTGAGTGATAACCATCGCTCCTCACTCTGCCTCTGCCACAGTACCATTTGCATGCGCGATCCTGTTCCCCATTCTCTGTGCTCTCTGATATTTGTTGCAGCCAATAGAGACATCAAGATCGTCCAAAGCCAAGCCCTGCCTGTGCCCGTGCCCCACTCACGGCCCCCGAAGAGTCGTTGCAACAACTTGAATTATGTATGTCTGGGGCTGTGAATGAAGCGATGTGCGACCAGGATTGGCTAATGTACGGGCTATGTCCGCTCCGTGGCTGCCACTGCCCACTCAGTTCCCCACACCCCACACCGCAACGCAGTGCAGCTCCGTGGCTGTGGTATCATCAAAATTGTCGTTGGCTCGCAGTTAAATTAAGTCATAAATTCAGTATTTATCTGCTGAATGTAGTTTGTTGTCCGGTCATCACTTCAGCGTCAGCCTTTGTCGCCGCAGAGCCGGTCGATCGTTCGCCCCACCAAACAGTGGGCAAAAAGTTACAAAAGAGTGACGAAAAATTTGGGGACTTATAATTTATTTTGTGAAATTTTTTTGAACAGTAGAGGAACAGAAAGTGTGTATAAAACTAATGTATTGTATATTTGGCAGTTATTTTGTACTACTATAAATTATTTTCTAATGTAAATATTTCCATCCTTCTTTTGTATCCACAAATTTAACCACTTGCATGCCATTTCTTGCCATGGTTGCTGCTCCGTGAAAGCTGCTTTTATCCGCGTTGCTGTGGCTGCTTTTATGGCAACAGATAGCCTGCATGTGTCACCCGGCACGGCGCCTCCCCTTTGGCCACATCTTCAAGCTCATTCTCGGCGGGTACGGAGACGGGCAACGGGCAACGGGCAACATCCTCGCAACGTGTTGGCGTTGGTTCCGCGGCTGCTGCTGCGGATTAGCCCCACTTAACCAGACTGGGGGCTCTCTTGGAGTAATTGGAGTGTGTGAGTGTGAGTGTGAGTCTGAGTTTGCACTGCCAAAATAAAGTTCTGCTGCTCCAAGGCACACAATCCCTGCACGACTCTCACTTGCCAACTTTCAGATTTATTGCTGCACATCAATTAGCTGCCATTGAGGTGGGTACCTCAGCTGTACCATGGTCGGCCATGCCATCCACATTTATTTGTACAAATCATTGATAATGCAGATCAATACAGTCAAACACTCTGACTGCTGAGCCAATTAGTCACTCTTTGTCATAGGAAATCTTTATCTAGGACCGGCAAGACTGTTTACTGTTTATTGAAATATCGCTGAACGCGTTGTGCGCATTTTTTAATGTCAACGGCCCCGTGAGCAATGCTAGATTAGATCTGGATCTCTCTCTCTCTCTCTCTCACTCTCTTTCTGCCTTCGCACCTTACACGACTGGGAGTCACACAGTGGCAGGTAGCCGAGTGGCCAGCAATTGTCATTGTAACTGTACCCCATTCTCCCCTCTTCTTTGCTATCGCTATTCTGTCAAGCTGCTAGTGCTGCCGTCTGACAGACAATCTGACGACGCTGATGACACTTAGTGTCGACCCCACCCCTTCATCACGTGCGGCTCTCCCTCTGGCTGACTCCGAATCTCTCTGCCTGTCACTTGCTCTCTCTCTCTCTCTCTCTCTGTCTATCTGCCTGTACCAAGCACTGACTCCGACTCTCTATAGCTGTACCTGTCGCTGACTTGCTCTTGGTGTTTCTCGTTCGTTGTCGTCTCGACGGCGTGAAATATTTTGACAAATCGCAGCCACTTAATCAAAAATCATCATCAAAAAGGGATCGATGTTTTGTATTGAGGTATCAGCGCGCATAAAGGACGAGCCGCGGTGTTCCCTTTCCCTGTGTGGGTTGAACAAGAGATTTCCGCCGAAGCTGATAAAAGGTTACAAGAGCTGGTCCCGGGCCGACTGGCAGCTAATCGCCCCATAGAGCTTGTCACACTTGTCGCACTTGTCGTCAAATTATGGAACTTGCATACACCTACACACACGTCTGCCTGCCTGTCTGTGTGTGTGTGTGTGTGTGTAAAGTAAAGTCTAGTAATGACACGTTATTAAACCCTCATATCAATCTTTATAATGAGTTTGCCTATGGAGCAGCAAACGTGACACACAGGTGACTGCCGTCTTCGTGGAGCATGAGAATTGCCGCCGACTCATCAGCCATTAGCCCTAATAAATCGCCAAACATTTGTCAGACACCTCTTGGTACGTGACGAATTAGCAGTTTCTCGAGTCAATAAGAGTCAATAAAAATGCATTCATCGAATGCTTGCAGACAAGTTAAGTCGATGGAACACACATTGGTTGACCACCAATAAATTACAAGTGTGGTAAATGGCAGCGTGTAAATTATGTTTCAAGCTGCTTTTATGTGCCAACAAATAGTTGACAAATAAACTTGTAATAACGTGGGAAACGGTGGAAGGTGCAACTAAAGGGATATATTTGTGTGCAGCAGCATCAACCTTCAGATAAATTAAAATAGAGATCGATCGATTCGGATACTGCCAGCTGTTGCTGGATCGGAGGGAACTGTAATTAAAGTTCATCAGGAAACAAATGCTAAAATCACGCAACCGACTTCCAGCCGAACTAAATGCTGTGCAAAGAGAGCGGAATGGAAGGTGCAGAGCAGCCGAAGAGAGCGGAATGGAAGGTGCAGAGCAGCCGAAGAGAGCGGACGGTGAATGCAAAGGTCGTTGCCGATATTCGATTGCTTCATCCGACAGGCAGGTGATGAGCCATCATGCAAGCCACAGAGAAAGATCACAGAGGAGGAGGCCTTCGTATAGATTGCTTATTAGAGCATTGATGAGAACAAACTTCAAGCTGAAGCTGCTGCCGGTGCTGGTGCTGGTGTGCGCGCACGCGATTGATTACGAGCCACCGCGAAGTCAGAGTGTGGACTAATCTTCATAGCTACAGCGCATGCTGGACACGCGCACGATATGCATCTAAAACAGCGACCACCGCCTGCCACTCTCCTATTGAAACTCACCTGTCCATCGTGGCATTTCCGCCGGCTACACACAACACACACAAAAAAAAACCTCAAATGTTGCGTCATTATCGAGAACATTGCCCAGTTTTTTGTTGCTCCCAAAATTTATTCCATATTCACCTCGTCCTTGTCCACATTGCTCTAATTTTTTCCGCTGGTTATCGTCCTTTTTGTTTTAATCAGCAAAGGTAGCCCCGGACCCTGCCCCGTTTCCAATGTGGAGCCGCGCATGTGTTTTGATGAATTGATGATGGGCTCTGCTCCGGTGAACCCTTTGCCTCTAGTCGGTTGTTTTTTCTTCTCTTAATTTGGAATTTATTTAAATCTACAAAGCAGGCAGTAGGCAAGGGTGCCGGTGCCTGTGCCGTCAGTCAGTCAGTCAGTCACATTGTGGCGCGGTTCGTCGCCCCCGTTTTTGGCAGGTGCAGTTTGCTCTTCTTTCAGTAGCATCGATGACCCTTCCACGCCGCCACCGCCACCGCCATCGCCATCGCCTCTGCTAATGCATAAATAACACGTTGTGGGTTCGCAGCCCTTTCGGTGTGTGTCCATGTCCGTGTCGGTATCCGTGTGGGGAAACATTACAGCCGCAGCGGCAGCCACTCACCGAATTTTAAAAGGCGTTTAGCTTGTTACCTTTTAATAATACCATTTAATTCCCCGTTGCTCCTGCCCAGGCGTAGGCGCAGAACCATCAATCAGCGTGCCGCAGATAGCGCCGCAACATAGCAGCGGACAAGACACTCGCATAACGCTGCTGGC